CAAAAGAATGTTGTGGTCAATAGTGTCGAACGCAGCGCTAAGATCCAGTAGCACTAATAGAGAGATACAACCACGATCAGATGATAAAAAAAAAAAGAACTAAAAAGAACCAGGAGTTTATAGGGGAGTTGGACTACACTGCTTGCGCTGATATTTTGATTCATTAAAAAGAGCCGGCTTATAAGAGTCATTCTTTGGGGAGTTAGACAACACTGGTTGTGCACTAAAAGAACTGACTCTTAATAGTCATTTTGTTGGGGAGTCAGACTTGATTGCACAGTATGTTTTAGATTCACTTAAAGAACCGGCTCATAAGAGTCTTCATTCAGTGGACAGGCTACCGTTTTTGCAGTGTATGTTTGTGAATCACTTGAAAGAACTGTTTCATGATTAATTCATTTGGTGACCGGGCTACACTGACTGTGGTGTATGTTTTTTGATTCACTAAAATGAACTGGCTCATAAAAGTCATTCATTCTGTGGCCAGGCAACACTGGTTGTGGTGTATGCTTTTTGATTTATTAAAAGTTTACCACATGTCATTTGTTAGGGAGTCAGACTACACTGGATGCATAGTATGTTTCCGATTTACTAAAAAGAACTGGCTCATAAGAGTCATTTGTTCAATAATCGGACTACACTGTGGTGTTGCAGCACCGTTTAATAAGTAACGCAAGAACTGTCAGCGTATTTCAGCATGGTATTTCATCGGCATTCTGGAAGAATCCATGTATCAGAATTGTAAACTAAATTCTGAATGAGAATCAGTTCTCGGATACCAAACCTATTCTGTCATTTTATTAAAAAACTTTCAATTCAAAAAACACTTTCCAAATGAGCTGCATTTTAATTAGTAATGAAGCCCACAAAGTTTCAACATCAGTCTCTATGGAGCAACCATGTTGTTCCAATCGTTTTGTCATTCTAACAATATGAAGTGTTTGCTATGCTTCGAGCATCTCTTTGGGAAAGCACAAAACCTGGTTAAAATAAATTAATTAAATAAAAACACATGATTTCTGACCAACTCAAAAAGCATTTAAGATGTAACATCTGCTGCTTGGAATCTTGTTTGTTGTCTAACTCTTTCACGTGCAGTCCCCAGAGACTGGAAACTATTTTCAGGCAACATTAAACAACATGAATTGAGAGGAGCAGACAAAGCTCCCATGACAGCCGATAAGCACAAGCCTCTTTCAGCAAACATAAATCAGAGGAATATCTCAGATGACTCCCAGAGCTTTCAAATACTGCTAACCTAATCATAAGTCAAGATAAAAGCCTCCTGTGATAAAGCATTAAAATATCAACTCAACTCACAGCATCCACTAACAGTCACTGATGTAGGTTTTTCCTCACAAAAAAAGGGAAAAAGTTGCAGATGTCAACACTGCCAGTGCAAAGCAAAGAATAAGCAAGAAATTAGTCTGAGATGAAAATTTCAGACTGGATTTACATAAACAGTCAAGCAGAGGAAGCACACAGGGACACTTAACACTTAAAAACACTTTCACACTGAAAAACACCAAATCAAAGGTTAAAGTCGGCACAAATTGAAAATTATAAATCTATTTTAAATGCATCTTATTGATGTTATTGTGAACAATATATCTATGAATGTTTATTTATAATTTTAGTCTCATAAGTTTTCATCAAAAATGTTATGATAATCCATTTCACTATGATTTACATCACAATATTTACTGCAAATTTAAGTTAAGCAATCATCTGAGGCGTTTGTTCTGATATAAAGGTAATGGACAGTAGGGAAAAACAATGCCACATACTGAAACATTTTTTTTTTTCGAGAGAAAGAAAATGCTACCCATATTATTTGCAGTTAATGTCAGAGGCTGTTGTCCAGTCGGATACTTAGTTGCAAAGTGCAGCAATTCTGCTGTTATGTATGTATTTACAAAACGGTCAGATTTTCTTATGCTAATATTGTTGGGCATATTGCGTATTGTTCCTGGTTTTGGTTTTAAGGAGATTTTTGTTCACTATAAACTTTTGATATGTTTGGTCTTGGATGGCCATTTGCCACCCAGATTAAATCTGGGTCCTAAAGCAACACCGGATTTTAATTACTGATTTAGCACATTTTGACCTATCTGCTGTAATATAGGCCTATTAGGTTAACTTTATTTTGTTTTGTGTACATCATGTTACATTTCAGAGTTTCTATCTAAACTACATTGCAACTATCTACAGCTCAATGCCAAAGTGGTTTGTTATTCCTGACATAGCAAATGCTTTGCTGTGAAGTCGATAGTTTGTGCTTGTCAGAGACTTGTTGGAATACTACACCGGTCAACTTCTAACAAGTTTACAGAGCACCGTAAACTTAGATTACAAGCAGTGTTCATAAAATACATAAACGACCTTGAACCAAAACATACTGTCATAATTCAAAGCGTAACAGCATTATCTAATGTAAATCGATGTTAGCTAGCCTCAGCTAACCGTTCCTTCTGTCAGCCCCTTATAACTCCGATCCTTCGCTCTCAGAAAGACACTTTTGCTCCCCGCCATTGAAACGCGTCCACTAACGTTACCTAGTAACGTTATAGGATAATATACCCTTCAGCCTATACTTCGTACGTTTCATTATCGTGTTTTGGGCGTTCGTTGCGAAATCTGTCATTGGTTACTCAATGAGTGTGTTTGTGAATCGATGCATTTGGTGATGTATTAGCAATGTCTGGGAATGTTTGGAGTGGACAAAGACAGGCTGACCAGAAACGAATCAAAAGTTGTCTCTCCGATGCTCAATATGGATACAGTGTTGCCAATTTAACAATTTTGTAGCTAGATTTAGCGACTTCCCCACCCCACTTTTTTCAAAAGTTTAAGGACAAATATAGCAACTTCTTGGACAAACCTGATCTAAGTTCTCATCTTGCCCACTGATCTATATCAAAGACTATAGAATACCCAAGACGTGTCACTCATATAGTTTTGAATGGGGAAAAATGCAACACTCAATATGGCCGCTCTATCGAACGAAGCCCTGCCTTCTGAGTAAAAGAGCCAATCGCTAATCGGTAAAGTCAGCGCGTCACTGCAGCTGCCGTTAGAAGTCCCGGCTGCTATAGAAACAGTCAGCACTCTGAGACGTGCGCTTAGGACTGCGCATGCGCACTGGCTGATCTTAGCCTGAAAAATAAGCTTTTTAAATGCTATTTGAGCAAAATAAACAACATTTATGATACAGTTGTTGTCAGATTTCATTGGTGATTTCAAATATGAAATTAATCGTAAGCTTAGTGAACAGTTTTGGAGAATTTGATGTTTGAAAGAGATAGGAGCTGCACTTGCATGCCCGAGAGGCGTTTCAAAGATGGCCGCCGAGTGACATGACAGGGACTTTGTCTATATTAATCTTTATATAGATCAGTGAATTTGCCATTATGATGTCATCTAGTGACATTTAGCTACCAGTTTTAGCTACTTTCAATTGAAAGCAGTTGGCAACACTGTATGGATATATTTTACGATTTACAAAATTTAAAACAATGACACTACTTTCAAAATGCACAGTAGCCTACTACACTAGTTTTATATAAACAAGCATCAAAGAAAAACTTCAATGTAAAACAAGAGGAAACAATACTAAATAAACCTAAAAAAAATCTAAAATAGGTTTATTGTCCATTGTATTGTGTTACAATAGGCCTATAACTCGATGGAATTTTAATTGATAGACATCAATCAACGTTGTTTGGGATAAATGTGATATTTGATGATTGACGGTAATCTGATTGCATTAGCAGTGTCTAATAAATTTATTTTTTTTATAAATATATGTTTCTATTTTATTTTATTTTTTTGCATATATCAATACAATGTAGGCCTATGTGTCTACTGTCTATCTACATAGAAAAAACACTGTAAATCAATCAGGTAGCTTAAAATAGGTTCATATTAAATTAGGTAAATGTGGTCCTACATATGTGGAGGTTAGATGCATGTTGCATATTTGGCATAAACAATATTGTATGTAGGCTATGTCCGTAATATAAAAAGCTTAATTATTTCTCACACCATGTGGGAACATTATTCTATCTAGAAATTTCTCTTTGGCTCTTTATCAATTAAAATGGATGGGGATCAGTGGCTGTAAAATAAAATAAATAAAATACAATACAGAAAGAAAGAAAGAAAGACGATAGGCTAGGCTATATGCAAAATCTGTTATAAGCTACAGGGTTGGAATGGCACAATGGATCTCACTACTCCCAATTCTGCCAGTATACTGATTATAAAATTATATATTGTAAAAGGTTATAAAAAAATGGGCACATTTACATAATACACTTAAGTGCTTATGTTAAAGACATTGTGCATTGTCACTTTTAAAATAAAAATAAAGAATAATAATTAAAAAGCCCTTAGTTTAAAATCTACTCTTTTATTGGAATACTTTTACTTAAACGAACGACAAATCTTTTCTATGATATCCAAACGCATGAAGTATCTCGTCTCACCAAACTCTTTTCTGTTCACTGAACGAGCAGAAAATGAATAACTCGTATCATGAAGATGACTTTGCTTTACGATAGAGGCACTGTGGAGACGCAACTCGCAAAGGGGTTGCGCAGACCCACGCACTGCGCAAAGAAACCACAAAACCATTTAGCATTGGTATTTTCTCGTATATGTATAGTCAAGTTACGGAACTGGTTTGCGATCTGTATAGGCTTACATTATTTTGCTATTTTATTTTTTTAAGACATATTATTTTGTTATTTTGTTATTTTATTTTTTTAAGACAGGAGCCTTTAGTAGGTATTTTACACGCCAGAGAAGAAATTATATTCGTTTGCAAGTTGCATAGTAACATAAGTCAGACGGCAACTTTTCTCTGTGGTTCTTTACTACAGAACATTTTTTTCTTGTCCAATCCCTCCCATGTCTCCTCCTTCCCTTTACGCACTGTCTCTCCCACTCTCAGCGCGCGCGCTCCACAGTTCTGCCTCAGCTCTCCTGTCATCGTCGCAAACAAAGACAGCCTTCAGGGTAGTTGGCGCAGTGGTTTCAGAGCGCTGAAAAGTACTTGAGAACAATTGGGATTGAGATCAACAGCTGTCAGAGTGGACTTTACAGACATCTGCGGTCTTAATTGACCTCTTTTAAAATGCAAACCTCCCCGAATGGCTTTGTTCACTCGTGTGGATTTATGCCCTGCTGTCAGTGGTAGTACCAAGTCGTTTCTCTGTCTCAGTTTGTCCTCCAAAGGAAGCCTCCAGGAGACTACAGGATGAAATGGACAGTCTTGCTGTTAGAATACTTCTTGGTCAAAGTTCTGTTGCTGTTGTGCAGCGCGGTCGGGGAAGCGCAGCAGCAGCAGCTCGAGGGCTTTATAATGCTCTCAGGATCCAATGGGTCCCGGGATGAGGAGAGCGTTTCTGAACCTCCACATACTGAAGACAAATGTCGAGGTTACTATGATGTCATGGGACAGTGGGACCCGCCGTTCGTTTGCCAAACTGGCAATTATTTATTCTGTTGCGGCACTTGTGGCTTCAGATTTTGCTGCGCTTATAAAAACTCACGTTTAGATCAGAGCACCTGCAAAAATTACGATACACCAGTATGGCTAACAGGACAGCCACCCTATAAGAAAACCCTAGACCCTAGACACGATCCAACCAAGGATAAAACAAACTTGATTGTGTATATAATATGTGGAGTAGTGGCAATCATGGCACTGGTCGGGATATTTACCAAACTTGGACTAGAAAAGGCTCACAGACCTCACAGAGAAAGCATGTCTCGGTAAGTAACTCATAGTTATGATGGTTTGACGAAGTCTTCATTTTTTTTTTGAATTTGACCAAAAATGCTTATGGTAAGAACAGCGTGCTTTGCCACTGATTCTTTTTCGTTTTTTTGTAAATGTGCTTGCTTATATGGATGTCTTTTATGTTGCACGCGTCTTATGCCATGAGCTCTGCGTTTATTCATCTCTGTCAATTTAAGAGAAGTTAAACTTTTTAAAACGCATCTCGAGATGCCATTACATCGTGCATCTCTGTTTTCGAACGTTAGAGCGCTCCAGTGTGTGTGACTGCTAGGGTCGTTCAAAAACATGTAAAAAATAAATAAATAAATAAATAATAATAAAAAAAAAACCTAGACATACCTGAATGTAACAGATCTCGGATGTTTCGAAATGCGTTTTGTTGTAAATATTTTATTATTGGACAAAATTTTGACAAAGAAAACAAAAGGGGAGAAAGAGGGAAAGCGTCATGGTGCAAGACACTGAAAAACAGCATGGCAACAGTGAATGATATGCGTTTGGTGCATGTGTATAGTAGACCAACAATTAAAAGCAATTTAAAAACAGCAAAAGGGTGAAAATTGTTCACTCCATCCAAGAATGGATTAAAAAAATTTCCAACCAAGAATTTTCTCACTAACACAATCTTTTGTGGCTTTTGATTGTTGGTTTTCAAAGCTCTGCATTTACTGTTGTGCCTATTCTTCCCATACATATTTATGCTTAATTAGAGCAAAAAACAATCCCTTGAATCTTCATTAAGCTTTCTAAATTCATGGATTTGTGTTATGCAAGCTCTCTTTTTAAAGGCTTTCTTGAATCACAGATCTCAAGAGATCCACATGGAAACACGGTTAACTTGTACATGTAAACCACAAGAACTGTGCAAACCATTTTAGATATTACATTATATTGCATAACATCCGGTTGTCAGTTTTTTACCCTTTGGTTACTCAGCTTCAATGGTGGAGGTGGAAATCTCTTGTTCCTACTGATTCTGTGGGTCAAAACCTCTGATGAGCGCTTCACAGCCCACAGTGTGCAGGTTGCTGAAAGAGCGGCTCACAGAAAAACCTGTTCTCTTTGAATCAGCACTCTGGACAGCGGCAGCTATAGCACTGAATGAATAGATGTCAGTCTACTGACATTATATCACTGTATGCCATTCTTTGATATCTAAATAAAGGCCGATTACACAATGCAAGGCAATTCAATGGAATACTAAGCTAACGAATGCTTGTTCTTCAACAGAGCTGTTGCGAGCGTAATGCAAGGCGCCCATCAGGGTCAGCACGAGGAGGCCATCGGAATGCACACACAGCATTATGACACTGTGCAGGCGAGAGCAAACAACATGCGTAAGTTGATTGTAGCCTACTTCCTCTCTTTTCCCACGAGCTCAGCATAAACTATGCACTACATTTATGCTCTTATGAAAATAGCCTGAAACAGTCTAAAAGCATGTTTCTCCTGGCTCGAGTGCTCAATATACCATAACCTCTACGCAATACAATGCACTTGTGTACTGAATTACACATGTAGTTATAAATGATGCATATAATAACATATTAAGTACTCAAAGTTTTGCTTGCGGTGCAAAACTTTGTTGGTTCTGCACCACTTTTTGATTTTCATATTCAATGCTTAGCATACACAGATATGTGTAAGAGAATGGAGATGCTGTGAGCACAACGCTGCTGTGAAATAAGCCTATTTATGGTCACTGCCGTGGGCTGCTGCTGCAGTTGTGTGTACGGTATTGTTTAAAACCGCTCGAAATGAATGGCCCTGTCACAAATGTTTAAACTCTCATTTGCTGCGATTCTGATTACTTCACCCCCTCTGTGGTTATCAACTCCCTAAATATATCTGTGTTGAAATAACACAAAATACAGTGAGAATATCAAAGCCCCCTCAGAGGGATCCATTTTGGTTGACACTGAGGATGTGAGTCAGTAGCTGGAGAAATTTCCCTTTCATCTAATTGCAAAGATAATGTCACACTTTCTTCACTGCCATGCATATTGTAGATATCTCCATCAGAAGTTTTTGAAAACTCAGATTACTTTTATGTTACATGTCTTTATTATAAACAAAGACTAAGAGCAATAATATGTAGATATATCTCAGGAAAATGGTAAGAGCACTAGACTTGTGAGGCAGTTTTTGGTTTTAACAGTAGCACAACCCTTTTTGGTGCTAAATAGAACTCTTTTTTTGGTTGCACAAAGAAGCATGCTTTGAAAGTGCTATACAGAACCTCAATGGTGCTGTGAAAGAGCCTTTTCATATGAGTCTGGAGGGGTTTTACTTTATTTTTTATTTATACACCCGTTCTACACCTGCACTGTAGGCTCTTAAATGGAAAAGATGCACTGAAAAAGAAAAAAAAAATCAAGTAAAACAATAAGAAAGATTTTGAACAGTGTGTGGATGATGAAAGTTTTGTTTCACTTGCAGGCAACCATTACATATGGAGTGTCACACCAGCCATTAACAAGCTTGATTTAGAAATGTAACTATGAAATCAGTATAATGTCAGTTCTGTCCTCTATTACACAAAAAGACATTCAAAGAGTCATTTTGGCTCACCTCTTATTTCCATATCATGATCATTATTCTTGCAGTACTGGCTTTTAATCCATAAACCTGAGTGTAATTACGTGGACTGCTTTTAACCTCTGACCCCAACGATTAAATACACAGTCCACCGAGTTACTCCATATGAGATAATGATTTGAACCGAAATCAAGAGAACAGGACGTAAGAGCAAGTAATTCCAGCGATTATGCAGAGGACCTTAATATGAGAGTTTTCTGAATTCTCAGGTTGACCCCTGAGTGGCAGGTCATAAGATCTTGTAATTAAAACATAAAGATATGTTTTAAAGCTTAAAGATACTTTAAAGGTGTAGTTTTCCGAATAAGTGTAGATAAGAATAAAGCCTAAGTCTATTGATAAAAGTTCCTGTCTTTTGAACGCCGTAACACAGAAGATTATCAAATCTGCTTTATGTGTCATAATAGAAGTTCATACACTCTTAAATGACAGATGTGAGATTATTTCTTTCAACATGAGATGACAGAAAGACTCTGCATGTGCTGTAGGTTAACTGCTGTTATTATTTCAATATGTAAACCTAGTTAGATTACACAACCGGTTTCCCCCCTAATCACTCTTATATGTGATACTGAGAACGTTTCAAAGATTTAAGAACATATGTTATACATTCCTTATTTTGTATTCTTGACATATTCAGATTCGCTCATGCTCATATGGAATTTGTGGGGAAATTATTTGTTCACATAAACCAATCAAGCAGTAACGGTATTCTGGCAATCTCTTCAATATTCCTCCTCTAAGACGCTGACAATCTAGATGCTCACCCACCGTGTGCTGAATGATCCCATCAAAGAGGTCTAGTTACCTCACTGAAAGTGCAAAATTACTAGACATTTTTTTCGCAATGATCCAGGATTCTGGAGGATATAGTACTGTGCTCCATTACCATCACAGCTTGGCATTACAAGAGTACCCGTGGCTTTAAAAAGAAATAGAAAAAAAATAAGTATTGAATACAGAATGGTAAATTTTTTGGTCATGGCATGAAATAATCAAGACTTTAGCCCAGTGTGATTTCAATCATTGTACAGTACAGGATGTTAAATTCTGCAATTCAGTGACCTGAATTGAGGAACAAAAGCATTTCCTCCCACAGCGCACTGAGCAACTGAACCTTGCAGATGAAGTGGAGCTTTTTCCAATGCCACAGCTAAAACTAATTACCTTAATGGGGGTTCCCAAAAGAAACAGCAGAAATCTATTATGCTGTATTTATTTTAAGCCTTGTGCCAATGCAAACACCTGAAACAAAGATCTGCTTGCAAATACGCAGGTGCTAAAGACACATCTGCATGTTCTGTATGGACTTAAAAGATCAGCGAGAGTAAAACGCGTCTGTTGTCCTTAACAAACTCACTGTAACTTAAAAAAATAAAAAGTGTTGAGAACAGAATGGATTTCTGCTCACCTATTGCATTCTTCATCCGTGTGATTATTCTTGCCGTTGGCGCTATACTTGCAATAAGTCCATTTACAGCGAATTATCCTAGTTCATTGCTAGTTCAAGCATGTCTTTGTACTAGGATTCTCTTATTGCAAAAAATCTGATGATCTGATGTCTAGAGGCATGTTAACTTTTTAAGCCATCAAATAGATCTCTAACTTTTAACTTCAATCTGGCGTTATTTTGATAAAAGCCAAAAACTTATATCTAAAAATTATTCTGAAATCTTTTTTTTATATGACAGGACGATTCATCATGAAATGATATGTGCACTCTTTGAAATGCTATTATTAAATATTGTTGTGTGAGATTGTCACTAAATGCTGCCACACATATGCTAGTGTTAACAAAGCTAAAACTTTCATTTGACAAGTTCACATTATTCTTGCCACCACCAGAAGTGCTAAAACAGCCAGCATAACTCTCCACAACCATATAAAACCAACTCTTTATGAAATATTCTTTTAAAACACATGAAGAGTCCATTCTCTCTGTTCTTTCCTAAATCTTTAAAGCTGCAGTCCATAACTTTTTTTGGTTAAAAATGATCCGAAATCAATATTTGAGCAAGTGCATAACCAGCCAGTGTTCAAAACTATCTCCTTACTTTAACCTGATTCACAACGGTTATCTTATAATAATGTTTTCTAATTTGAGTGGTACGGGTAGGTTTTCGTGGGAAATTCGAGCATGCTGCTGCGTCATTACGTCACGTCTGTAAACATAAAGAAGTTGTCCCGGCTAATGGGCTATATCACATGCGAGTATGCTTACAGATAGCCTGGGATAACAAAGATTTGTATTTTAAAGAAAACCAGTTCAAAGGGGGCATAATTTGCTTTTTGGGTTAAAATAATTTCTTAATATGAAAAATCGAAGAGTATGACAATTAGATTAGACTGTGCAGAAATTGAAATCTACACGCTAACACACTATACTCATAGTCACCAATGCTGATGTTGTTAACATTAATCATTTGAGAATAAAGTATAACAATAATAATAATTTGAGCGGTTTGATGTGATATGAGTAGCTAACCGATCTTTAGATTTAATCACCATTGGCAGCGATATTTATGGTAATGCTTTTTTCCTCAGTTGGTCAGAACAAACGTGGCAGACTTGTTACTTACTTGTTCAGATGGCAATATACGGTGAAAATTCTTATTTGGGTCATATTCCAAAACGTAGGCTAGAATCTGTGATTGCGAAGTACAGTAAATATCCACACCGGTGCGGTGACTGACTGCCACACATACTCTTCAGAACATTAAATTCATCCGCGCTGGAGCCGTGCCGACTCACAACCCACGCAAGCTAGATATTTCCGCACACAGCTGCAATTCCAGGTTTTCAGACAGAGATGGCGACAAAGAGGCAAAACTTACGGACTGCAGCTTTAAACAAAATAACAGTACTCTTTCTGCATGTTACACCATTACACCACTAAGTGGCAACATATGACTGTCTTTATAAGTGAGCCAGTGAATCAACTGATTCATAAAAAAATGCTGATTCATTTGGGAATGGAACACCTCTATGTTGTTGCACAGAGACAGTTTTATTTTGGTTTAATTTATATACGATTACATTTCTTAGTAATATTTTACTTTTATATTTTCAGATTTCATTTTAGCGAATTTTTTAATAAGGTTTATTTAGGTTTATTTCCGTTTTAGCTATTTTAATTTAGTTATTTTAGTTTATTTCCATAGTAATTATAGTGCTTCAACTTTAACTAATCTTAGTTGCAAGGCAACATTTTCAGCTTTATTTCAAGTAACAAAAATAGCTTAAGTTAATGATAATAAGCTAGCTCAGAGATGGCTTTGTTTGGAAATATTTGACTTGGTGGAGCTAAAAGAGACAAGCGTCAATATATTGTGCCTAAAATATAAGTTACCCACTTCTTTTTATTTAAAGTTTTATAACAGCAATGTCATACTCACAATTGTGTGATATTTTTTAATTAATGACTTGAATGAAAGTTTTGCATGTGATTAGGGCTGCACGATTAATCGCATGCGATATTTAACGCGCATCTTGTCAGAAA